AAGGGTTCACTAGAGCACTTCCACTGAAAATATGGATTAGTTTGGATTAACACAGTCTGAACTACAGAAAGTAGAAAATTGTTAAACTATCACTCCTGTTAATAACAGTTTGGTATGTGAATGTAAGGGTTCACTAGAGCACTTCCACTGAAAATATGGGTTAGTTTGGATTAACACAGTCTGAACTACAGAAAGTAGAAAATTGTTAAACTATCACTCCTGTTAATAACAGTTTGGTATGTGAAGTAAGGGTTCACTAGAGCACTTCCACTGAAAATATGGGTTAGTTTGGATTAACACAGTCTGAACTACAGAAAGTAGAAAATTGTTAAACTATCACTCCTGTTAATAACAGTTTGGCATGTGGGTTATTTTGGCCTCACAGCACACTATTGTGTGTCTTCATTTAGAATGGACTCTTTTGTGCATTAGGAGTATATGTATGCAAAGAAAGTTTGTATTTGATTTGACCACTGAAAGAGACTTATTAGAAAAATGAAGATGTCATGCAAAAGCTTAAATGTTTTTAGCAACATTATAATGCATCATATGTTCTAACATAATTTTTAAAACTAGGGCAAACCATATTTTTTGTATTAATGTGAGAAAAAATTAAATTAATTACTTAGTTTCCTCTTCCAGCTCTTGCCAGTGCTTGTTGAAGTTATTATGTGGTTGGATGTAGCTGTTCTTAGCACTTTCTGGTCTGTATATTTGAAACGGGTTCCAAGTGTTTTGTGTTACGGTGCCTGCCTCACCCTGCAGCTATCTATAGATCAAGCAGGAAAGCTGTGGCAAAGACACATCCAATTAGCATCTCAAGTGAGTGTTGTACTCCAATCTTTAATGGGTTAATGGCAACTAATTTTTAAGATATATTTAAATAATATAATATTATTGTAGCATATTGTGGTGTCTGTGTTTAGTTAGTCTAAAATACAATCAGAGTTCATTGTAAAGTGATGGCTAGTCTCTTATGTACCAGAAAAAACTACATTAAACATGCATTTCCATTTAAGCATATATATTGCTTCTCTGAGTGTTATATCATTAACTTACTTGAAAGAGTTGATGCTAATTTACATTGCATTTCGTGGATGATGGAGTGGATTTTATTATTCATTGTTATTTAAAATGTTTCATATTATAACTTTTAAGTTGATTGTTATAGTGAGAGAAAACTTGACGTATCCTAAAAATCCAGTTGAATAGATTTTGAATTTAATATGTAACTTATTGCTAGTGACATTAATTTATGATTTGCTTTATACAGCTATTTTGAAACTTGATACATTAAATTTTATTTTTATGTAGGTTTAACAAATTTTTGAAGTTCCTTCCACATACACACACCTGCATCTAAAAACTATATGTGCACTCATAAACATTGCATTTTGATTAACTAGTTCTATACAGCCATTTCGAATGACAATCTAATCAACATGTAATCCATGACCCATTTTTCACATTATGATACTCATGAAAACTAGATACTGTGTGTAGTATTTTCAGTTGTGAAGTTTACTTGAAAGAATTAACTTTTCATATTAGTTGTTCTTTTCCAGACTTATCAACATTATTTAGGTTTTTTAAACTATACATGGTGTAAACAATTGATAATCTTTGTAAAACATAGATAGATTTCAGCAGGTAGTTGTGCTTTTAGTATAGAATGGTTTTCTAATTAACAAGCTTGTTTAAAGGTAAAGAATAGATATCAAATGATGCTAAAATTCATTAACAGCATATTTCTTTTATAAACCTTTATGTTGCTAATTTTACAACTTTGACAGTTTTGCTGAGAAATCACACTTATTTTACTTACAGAATGAAAATAGTTCATCCGTGAAAGACATTGTTATTGTTATTGATGAATGTTTGGAAGAACATTTCAATGTATTGTTGGACTTGCTGAACAGACGAGAAATTGATAAACTTTCCATTATCAATATTGTTACTTTGTTATCTGTGTGTTGTAGTAAGAAACTGAAAAATGTAAGCCTGGTTTTTGTTACTCTTAGTGGATTAAAAAAATCATTTAGCCACCTAAAATTTACTAAATGTCACTAAACAACAAAGAAATCTTCTAGTTTGTAACTTAGTATCTAAAGTAAATTTGTGGTAATTAATATGAACTTCTGATAACAACACATTATGCACATAAAATGAAACTAAAAATCAACTTGGCAATCAGTATAGCTAATTCAATATACTTTTCTTACATTTCTACTTATAAATGAGATACTATCAACATTGTAAGCACATTTAAAATCAACTAGGTTCTCAAATGATATTACTTTGTTTCTCTTAAAGAAAAAATATATAGGTTAATTTTCAGTATTCTATATTTGTATATACAGTGTTTTAAGACAAAATTTAATTAAAACCCTTTGGTTCTTTATACTGAGAAATCAATTTTAATTTTGAGAAAGTTAATGTATACATAGAATTTTTTTTTTTTTAAAGAAACTAGTGAATTTGAAATGTGCTGTTAGTCTGTCTTTTAGAACATGAATATTGATTTCTATTTTTTCTAATTGAATCCTGTTTATGATTAATTATTTTCTGCTGTGATTTCTTGTTGTCTAGGAAGCTTCTTTCAAGGCTGTTTCAACAGTTCTTCAGAGGATTTTTCTCACTGCTCATGGCTCAACAAAACTTGCCAGATTTGTAAGAGCTGCCAACTCCACTGCAATTCCATTCAGTCTTAGTGCCAACAGAGAGATGAGGTACTAAATACTAGTAATTCACATGATTTTTAAAACAGAGAAAATAACTTGTTTTAAATAAAACATTCCATTTATTAGAAGATAAATAATCTATCTTTGGATAAAAAAAGTAACAAAAATCTAAATACATGTAGGGCATAACAGGGTGTATGGAGACATTGATCAACTTTCACATAATTTAGAATACATACTACAAGTGAACTGATTGAGTGATTGTATAAAAGGAAGTGTCTGGATGCTTATAAACAAAAATCTGGAGAGACTAAAATACTAAAACTTTAAGAGTTTATTATTCTCTGTTGCCTATGTATCGGTGTTGATCTGCTTAATCATATTTGTATATTTAAAAACAAAAGAAGGACTAACCTCTAAACATCTCTAAGGTTTGAATATATTTTGTGGTATGTTGTAATACTTTCTAAAATATTGATTCATATTTTTAGTTCTTGTCTATAAATATGTATTGTATGATTTCATAAAATATTACTACATACAGAAATGGCTTTACATGTCTTCTTAATTAAAATAAGTTAAACTGTCAGAAACTAAAATGAAACAGAAACATAATAATTTAACCCTGTTTTTGTTTTTATTGTTAAAGACATGTTTTTCTTTATGGTAGCAAGTCTGATCAGTTATAACTGAAGACATGATTCGTTCTTCTCAGTTCTCAAATTAACAGCTTGTTTTTTTATTGTTTACTACTGGTGGAGTCTACATACTGCATCATATTAATTAATTATATTTAAAGAACTGGCCAAGACAGTTGTGTGATATTACTCATTTTCTATTTAAAATAACTAGGGGCTCCAGATGTAACACATTGGATGAAATTGCAATATTGATGTTAGTTTTATTTAAATTTTTTTTCATATGTTAGAAGGGATCTTGTAATCAGTAAAATCATGAACCCACAAGCAACATAATAAATTAATAGTTTTGATTTTTTTTAAACTGAGGGGATTAATGTGAAAAAAGCATAGATAAACCCTGGCAATATTTAATGGTTGAAATGTTGGATGAAACAAAACAGCTGATGTATCAAACAATGAAATTTTAAATGAATTTAATATCTACTGTGTTATAAACATATTTTCATTTGAAGTAAAGATGTATGTGAGGTTTTCCAAATTGTAATCTAAGCAGCATGAGTTATATGGCAGTTTGATGAGCAGTACATTGCATCGATCTGTATGATGAATTTGTCTCCTTATATTAATGTCAGCTAATTGAAGTTTATGTCTCTAAACTTAAAAACATATTTTTCATATAAAATAGGACAAAAAATTAACATTTTCTTGAGTGTTAAATTTAAATTTTTATTAATGAATTGAAAACAGAAAAAGTGGACAGAAGAGTAAAGAAACCACAATAATGGTTTAACATTACATGCAGTTTATACATTTAATCCACATGATACATCTGCATTATCTGATCTATTCTAAAATATAAGTACTGCTTATTACAATTGAAAATTGCAAATCTTGTCTTAGTACTTTTAAGTTATTATGATATTTCATACAATTTGCAAAATAAAAGCTTAAAATCATGCTGTGTACTATATGATACCATCATTAGAGCTGAATATGCCACCTCAAGTTCTTATTTTGTACTGTAAACTAGTAGTTTTCAAATACTCAAGCCTGGTGGTTAGGGCACTTGACTGACAATCTCCAGATTGCAGGATCAAAAATCATCACTGAACATACCTCTTCAGTTATAGGGGCATTATCATGTGATGATCAATCTCACCACTGATTGGTAATAAATAGTTCAAGAGCTGGCAGTAAGTGGTGTTGACCAGCTGCCCTCCCTGTAGCAGTCGCTTCAAAACTAGGGATGGCGAGTGAAGATAGCCCTTAAGTGACTTTGCAGGAAAATTCAACAAACAAAGAAACAATCACATTTAAATATACTAATATTGCTTTAACTGTTTCATCATATTTTCAGTAGACTTGGATCAAACTTGTATCATTTTTGAGGCTCATCTCAAAGTATTTCTACCTTCTACCTTCTTTAGAAGTTTGAAAGGTGTAAAAAAATAAACAGATGAAAAACTAAAACTTCAGAGATGATATCTTAGATAAAATTTAAAAAGAGAGATTATCAAATCGTTTCATAATAGAAGAGGAATTATTTTTTTAACTGGTCCATGCATTTTTAGTAATTATTCAAAACATAGTCTTTCCAAGTTTTTGTACAGTTTAGTTGATTATTTCTTTATTAATATGAATTTGTTGTAAGTATTATGTTGAAGTTCACACTATAATTGTTTCAGTCTTTGTAATGTAATTTAGCAGCTTGTATATTTTTAAGAAGTATTTTGTTATTTATTTATTGTTGCTGTTAGCTTGAGTGGACAGTTTGGATCTAGGCCTGTACATCCATTCCAGGTAACAGTCTTGAACAAAGCACCATGCACTGTATTTCAGAGCCTGCACCACAGAATCTCAGTACTTTTTAACCTTTTAGTGAACATGTTCTATTGTTGGAACTACTTTTATTGATATGCATAGCAAAGCTATCATTTTCATTGTGTGCACAACTTTCACTTACTGACTATCTGAATCTATTTATTACCTTAGTCAATAAAGTTTGGAGATAACTTGAGTAGGTAGTTAGAAGGAAACTTTATTGCAAATGTACAATTTTTCAACAAGTTTATGTTTTACACTTGTAATAAAGTTTCCTTCACTACCTACTCAAGCCATTTCCAAGCTTTATTTTCTAAAAAGTGGGATCCTCATCATCAAGCTTTTACCTTAATCCTTCTAAAAATGTAGAAGAAGTTAATAGAATTTCTTTTTGTTTTCATTTTTTTTTTCTCTTGGTTTGGTGAAAACATTTTAAAACTGTGATTTTTTGTTCAGGTTTTACACAATGTACTGTTATTAAAACATTGATCACATATCTTTTAAGATAATAGCATGTTCTATGTGTTTTTCAAAAAACTTAAATATAAACAAAGAAGTTAGTATTTTTTTTTCTGAGGTAAGATAAAATTATATTCAAATATGAGGATTAATCTTTGAATTTAATTCATAGCATAGTCATAAAAGAGCTTTCATTTGTTGATTTTACAGTTTCAAATAGATAGAGTTGATTAAAATTCCACAGTCCTGGAGAACTTACTTTTATTTAAATGCTTTGAATTTCTTTTTTTTACAACAACTGCATTGTCTTATCATTGTATATATAGGTAGAGAAACAGGTTTTGATGGAGCTCCACGAGTCTTTACCAGCAGTGTTTCAAAACTGTGACTTCCCAGTTTTCCTTCCTATTATACCTCAGCTGGCTTACTATCTTTTAACTTACATAAACGTCAAGGATATTTGGACATCTCTACTTCTATGGTGAGTAGATACATTGTGGGACAAAGTGGCTAAAGAAGATTATTAGTTTATCTTCTGTCCACATACACTATGAAACTAATAGCATTTTGCTTCCTCCTAAAAGATTATTTTTAAAATATTGATATTTTTCTTCTTGTAAATTTTTTAATGTGTTTTAACTACATGGTACTTACATCTTTCACATAATTCTAAAAAAAAATCCTGCTTTTTATACACTTTCGTGATCACTTCTTTTTATGAGATGAAGAGGACTTTGGTAATTTTATGGTCAGGATGTTGTGACCCTAGGAAAAAAAAAGATTAGAATATTTATGACTAACTTAAGTGTTTTTTAAGTTTGTAAAATTGCCAAACCTTTTGTATTCTCATTATTATAGACATATGCCAAAAAAGGAATACTTTTAATTTGATTCTATTACCATATTTGATTTTTCAATATAAATTAAATCAATATTTTTGGAACATCAGCATGGTAATATAAGTAATGTAACTTTTGATGTTAATTTCAGAAAACAGTGAAATAAATAAAAAAAATTACACACTCCATTTTATGAAGATTTCTAAATTAAGAAGAGTTTCACTCCTTACATTTGTATTTTTATTGTTGATTTAACAACTTACAAATAGCTTGGTGGTTAAACATAAGACATTATTAGTACTTGTCCAGTAGAAAAGCTCCAGGAGTGATTTAAAGTAATTCAGATGGAACCGTGGTTGATCGAGTGAACTCTTAATGCATCTTCACTGCTAGTAGCTTTTGAGTTTTTACCAATTTAATGGAGGGAATCCATATAACAGAAAAAAAAAAGTTGTCAAGAATGTGATACTATCTTCTACATTATCTTAACTCATTGAGTGCTTGTAGACTGGGATGGTGAAAAAACATAGATGTATTTTGATAATATTAAGAAGTTAAATATTTCCCTTGCTTCAAGCAGGTTATTATTTTTTTTTCTAGTTTATCTGCTTTAACAGATAAACTACCATTATTTGTGCCTTATGCTGAGATGACAGAGAAAGTGATGGCTATAGCTGGACTTGCAATAATGGAAGAAGCAAAACTGATCTTCCTAAAGGTATGAGCATAAATTATTTTACTGTCTTTTGTAGTTTCAACAAACTGTTTTCCACTATTGTCATTATATTTAAAAAAGAAGAAAAACTGTTAATATTTCATAGGTTATGGTTCTTAATTATGACAGAAATATCTTTTGTATTTGTCATACAAGTGCTATTATTTAAAAAATTATAATTAATTTAATTTTTTTACTCTATCATTGGTTGATTAAAATGCTAAGATTCTCAATATAAGTTAAATTCTCTTGATCTTTAACAAGAAAGCTCAGGAAGAAAGATTGGCTTATAATATCAAAACATTTAAAAAAACTACATAAATATAAATCTCCTTGATGGGGCTGGTATTTACTTTAAAAAAAGTTTTCCCTTTTTCACCAGAAAATGTACAAAACAAGCATAGCTGTATATAGATCCTGACTGGTATGTATAAATTGCCTAAAATTTTAATGCAAGTATAACTGTAAGACAAGATATTGAATATCATTAATTTTTCTCAAAGGTTCTACCAATAACAGTCATTGTGAACAAAAGATAAAATATGTTTGAATAGTTTGATCAAATAAGAGTTTTTTTTGTTGTTGTTTTTTCTTACAGAAATGCATCATAATTCTCAAGTTTTGTGTGGGCTGAATTTTTTATGCTAGGTGTCTGTAACTTGTTGGCGATAAATGTCAACAATAAACAAACAGAATAAATCCACTTGTTTTAAAATATCATATTAAAACAAGTCAAGTGTATATACAAATATTTGTAACAATTGGTTATCACAGTTGTAACCAGAGCTTTAAATAATTATCTCTTTTATGTCAAAGTCTACACAGGCTGGTTCAATAACATTAGAACACAATTGATAAGAAAAATTATTATTCTCTACTCTGTTATTACAATACAATTTGGAATAATTTTACTTTAAAAATTACCATTATATACTCTATATGGTTAAGCTCACAATCACAAAGTCTAGGTCTAGCTTTCGAACTGAATTTTTGACACATATTTGTACCCTGACAGAGGTCTAGAATGTTCCATGCACTACTAGATCTTATAGTGCAATAATACTCAATTAAAACAACAAGAAAAACTCAGAAGGTTCTAGTAACATGATGCAATAACATAACAATCACCAGTTCATAACTATTGAACTACACAATGTATGATTTGGAAACAGTTACATAAATAAACCTGCAATAAACTCACTTCACTTTGTTCCTTAACCCTTGGGGTCACTGGGGCACCAATGATGACTTAGCAACCAGCCTATCTCCATCTTTCCTGGTTTTCCACCACCCTCTGGGAGTTGACGAACTACAGGCCTGTCCACTCTTTGATGTTGTCTTTCCACCTCTTCTTCTGTCTGCCTCTTCTTCTTTTCCCTCTCATGGTGCCTTGCAAGATGATCTTTGCCAAGCCAGATGAACATGAGGCGTGACCATACCACTTGAGTTTGCTTTTTTTTGACAGTGGTCAAGAGATCTTCATATGGTCTTATAGCTTGTTGGATCTTGTTGCAGCCCTCTTCATTGGTAACGCGGTCTTTATATGAGATGCGCAAGATCTTTCTGTAGCAACTCATTTCCATGGCCTGTATTCTTCTTTATAGATCTGCTGTGAGGGTCCATGTTTCACAAGCATACAGAAATATGACAAGGGAGTGCAACAACTTAATTTTGAAACTAAGAGTGATGTTGTCATTCCATATTGGTTTCAACCTTGCCAGCACTGTTGTTGTCTGCACAATCCTGGAAAATATCTCAGGTTTGTAACCATTATCTGTGACAATTGATCCCAGGTATTGGAAACTTTTTACTGTTTCAAGTCTTTGTCCACGTACATTGATCTCAATGCTGATGCTGTTGGTGTTGTTGGTCATCAGTTTAGTCTTCTTGGCACTGATCTCCATACCATAAGTTATAGATGTTTTGTCGAGGCATTCAACCAAGCTGGCTAATTCTTTCTCTTCTCCTGTTAAGCCATCAATGTCTTGTGCAAAGCGAAGGTTGGTGATTGGCCTGCCTTCAGTACTGACAGTATCTGCATGATCTTCCAAGGCATCAATCATAATCCTTTCCAGAAAGATGTTAAAGAGGGTGGATGAGAATAGGTATTCTTGTCAAACTCCAACCATTGTTTGAAACCATTTATGAGGACTGCACTCATGGCCTTTTCATAAAGGTTTTCAATGACTCAAACGAGACTGGCACTGATGTTGTACTTCCTCATGGTTGCCCATAAGGCTGCATGCCATACCCTGTCAAAAGCCTTCTTGAAGTCTCTGAAGACATGATAAAGGTCTTGTTGATGTTGGAGATGTTTCTCACAAAGGATCCTGAGATTGAAGATCTGTTCTAGGAGCTTCATCCTACTCAAAACCCCGTCTGTTCTTCAGCAATGATCGTTTCCACTTGGGGCTTGAGTCTGTTTAATATGCTCATTAATATGACTTTACTTGGGTGACTGATGAGGCTGATTGTTTGGTAGTTTTGGCACAGCAATAGGTTGCCTTTTTTGGGAAGCATGATGACCATAGACTGGGTTGAAGGGGTGGTCTTGTGGTTGTATAGTTCTGAGCAATATTCTGTCCACTGATAGAGAATCTCTTGTTCTTCTATGAGGCATTTTCCCTAGTGGCTCACCCTTGTTTTATGATTATTAGGTCTTTTTTTTAATGTTGTTCTTATTCATGTTTTCTTCAGTTTCATTGCACCGTTCTTCTATTCAGTTCTCCTTTGCCTTCTTCATGCCTTTTTTTATTTTCTCTGTATTTTTGCACTCCTTCAGGATTGTCTTTTCTCTTTTTCAGTTCTCTTCTTTTGTCACATAAGTTCAGAATATCTGGTGTGACCTAGGGTTTCTTAGTCTGATGGTGCTTGCCAAGGATCTTGTTGGCTGCCTCAGTCACTGTTGTGTTGAAGGTGGCTATCATTGAAACTAGGTCTGTGTTTTCATCACCCAGGATGGTAAGAGGTGCAAATTTCCCACCAATCATTGCTTGGAAGGTTTCTGTTGTATATAGCTTCTCAAATTCATACTTGATTCTTGTGTGCTTTAATTTGCTGATTTTCTTCAGACAGAGATGAAAAATCATCATCAACAAGTCATGATCACTTCTGATGTCTGCTCCTGGAAAACTTTGTGTTCTGGCAGTGTTGACTCCTGTTTAAAAGTGCTTTTTCACAATGAACTAGTCAATCTGGTTGTTATGTTGTCCATCTGGACTGTGCCAGATCCATCTTCTGGATGATTTGTGAGGATAAAAAGTATTAGCCAACAAAAAGGATGTTATGTGTGGCAAACTCCAAGAGCCTGAGTCCAAGATCATTTAATTCAGTATTGCAGAACCATCTGCAGATGCCTTGCCAGTTTGTCTGTGCATCCTCACCAACTTTTGTATTCCAGTCTCTTTGATTGATCTATTAGGTCCTGCAGTTGGTTGTAAAAGTCTTCCATCTCATTGTCATCGTAGTCAAACGTTGGGGTATTACTGTGATGTTGAATGGAGTAGCCCTCATGCTGAAGGTGATGAGCTTGCTGGAGACTGGGTGGCAACCCATAACAGTGTTCACAATGTTTTTGTGTACAAGGAATTCAATGCCATGCTCATGTTTGTCCTGTTTGCTACTGAAGTAAACCTTGTGTCTTTCCTCGCTTAATGTTTCTCCAAAGTGTTTCTAATGCATCTCACAGAGTCCAAGGAGGTTCCAGTGGTACCTGTCTATCTCGTATGTATGTTCTTTCAATTTCTATGCACCTTTCAATATCATTACATTCCATGTACCAATGGTGAAGTTGTTTCTTCCACAGAACTTGGTGGTAGGAGCACCAGTAACATAGTTATCACCTCTGTCCTGGTGTGAGGCAGAAGGTGGGGTCATTGGTAACTCGGGCTGCGACCAATCAAGTATGGATTGAGTATTGGTTGTCATCATGTGGTGTGTCTTAGGCAGTTGCATCCTGGTGGTGCCCATCTTCTCTCCCAGTTGGTTTACTACAGCCAAAATCCATCACACAATGTGGAATGCCCTGGTCCCAAACATGTGGCACTTGAGCTCATCCAGGAGCCCTTCCGCCCTGGCCGTGGGCTTCATCAAGGAAGATGTCTGCCCAGTAATGTCATGTTACTATCACACCATTTTACCCATGGTTGGGAGACTCGTGGAGGGTAGGAGTATCTTATTCCATCACGTACAGGTCCAATGGACCTACCCACTGCCCACAGCAATAAATTATTACTTCTAAAAATAACTAAATTTAGCACTCAAGCTATATAAACTCTCTAAATCATAACATTTGCATTAAATTTAAACTGAAACAGTCACGTATATCTAACAATGATTATTTGAAACTATATTTCAGAAAGATCTAGAACCTTTGAATCTATTTATCTCACACCCATTTACACTATGAAATTCACATAATTTTGTTTCCTCGTGAAAGATAATGTTTAAAATAGAGTGATTTCTTCCCTTATCGTTTTTACTATGTTTTAACCAAACTTTACAGCTTTCACATAGTTCTAACAAAGATCCTAACTGGTATATGACAAATGTCTAAAATTTGAATACAAATGTAATTTAAAAAAATATGTATTAAGTATCATTAATTTTCATCTAAGGTTCTGCCAACTACACTGATTGTGAAGAACAACTTGTGTTTGAATAATTCCTCCATTCCAATAATCACAAAGTATTTATACTACAGTAGTTTCTGGTCTGTAGAACTATGAGTACATTAGTTGTCAGCATATTGGGCTATAGATTGAAGGATTCAGGGTTTGTTACTTTTTGCCATTAAACATGCTCTGTACTTCAGTTGTAAGTAAATTATACAAATTAACAGCCAATCCCATTAATTGGTTCAAAGAACTTGATAATTCCTATATGGCAGTGAGTGATACTGGCTTTTTGCCTTTTGAAGTTGAGTTTTAGAAGAAAAGATACTTAGAAAAATCATGAATATTATCATAATTATTAATTGTAAAGTTAGCTTTTCCTTGTAACAATGGGTGTGGTTTGAACAGGATTACCAACCCTCCATAAATTTATGGATAGTAAATATAAATAATAAGTAACATTTTAACATTCTCCATAAATATATAAGTAGCACAGAATCTTTTTTTAAGGATGTTGGTAAAAAAATACATTGTCAGTAAGAAAAAGGCTACTGTTTGTCTGTAAGTTGGTAAAACTAAAATTGTAAGGGCGGCAGTTCTTGGTATGAAAGAAGGAGCATGTGATTCATAAGCATAGCTTACAATATAAACCAGACTGAACTGAATGACATCCTCTAAAGGGTTTACGGAAAAATTCTTCAAAAACAAATCCTCAAAAACCAGTTCTTTGAAATAACACTTAATTGAATGTCCAATTTTTAGATAGATTTGTGATTATAAATTAGTGTATAAAATATTATTAAAAGGCATATAATTTACGTTTCAATGAAGTTTCGAAGTAGAATGGAGCAATATTATTTAATACATAAGGAAAGACATACATATGTGAAAAATGAGATATTTAATCAGAATGAAGAATATTATTACATCATGATATTACAATAAGCAATTTCATCAGACCTTTAAAAATATTCAAAAAACACCAATATTATTATTTATTTTAACCATGTAATAATTAATAATTTATGTTATGTGCAGTACCATGCAAGTAATCATTTGTTTTATTTGTTTGTTGAAATGCATTGACAAGTCTTTTTAATCTCTCTGCACAGTCACGATATTTTTTCTGACCAGTAGAAGGTTCCTGACATTACCGGATGTTATCACTTTTCATTCGTTGTGACCTTAGTTCCATGTTTCTGCTCTTACGGGAATTTAAATGAAACAAACATTATACAGCCAGTGTGATATGTGAAAATTTGTAGTGTTTATTATGTAGTGAACATTTAATGCTTGTGAATGTATATTTCGAAGAATTTACCACATACATTTTGGAAGAATTGTTTTTCGAATAATTTACCACATACAATTTTGAAGAATTTACTGCATACACCTCTAAAGTGCCAATCAAGACTCCATTTGGTATGGAAACACCAGTCATTTCATCATGTGTGATTACTTCGTCTATTGGCTCAGGATGGAATTTGTACAGTTTTCCAGTGAGGGTAAGGTCTAGAATAAGCCCTCGAACATGTCTTGCAAAACTTCATACAATGAATGAAATTCCTGAGCATAAGGTCATCGAGATATTGGCACCTTCCATTTTTGAGGTTTTAGTTAAGATAAACACTAAGTACATTAGAAGGCTGATGAAAATAGTATGTACGTTTCTGTTGGTACCAGTTAGACTAGTTAGTTAAAGGAAATTGTCTGGCTCACGTATGGGTTCCAGACTGAAATGAATAAATTAGTGTGCATATGTATGAACTACCAATAAGGTAACAGAAAATCCAGCTAAAGTATCTTTTCAAGAAATACTACAAACTTACCATAAGAAAATCTTTGTGTTGACTGGATGCCAATAAAGTATGGCTCCATCAATATAAAGCATCAAGCCATAAACCCGAGTCAACATGCTATATCTTCTGTATGAGCAAGTTTAATTAGAGCTTACTGTATATCATATATAGGTATATCACCAGATGCATCTTCAAAGGATTTTGATGTCTTTGGGATATTCAAATGGGCTCTCAAGAGTAATTAGCTGTGCACATTTGATGGACTTTTAAAAGTATGAAAAGAAAAGATGGACGACATTGGCCTCAGTGTAGTGCACAGAAGCTTCTTACAGTTGGAATTGAGTTGCAGTGTAACAGTCCATAATGAAAGTTGCTACATAAAACACCATTTTTTGGTGGAAGAAGAATCTGTAAGGCCTCTGCTCTCATCCTTGTATTGTTATCATAAAGTGTAAACACCCCTTTGTAGGTAATAGTTTGACATTTCATAAAGTGGGGTGATAAGACATGTTTTACATTGTGTGAATCCTGAAAAATAAAAGAGACTACAGACATATAAAGCACAGTTCACATAATAAGTATCAGGGACATAGTATAAGTATTACTTGTTACAAGAGCAAACAATATATTTCATATTACTAATAAATATTGTAACACACTGCAAGATCAAAAGTACAACAATATTAAAGTTACAATAAACATCAGTAACATCACAGCCAGGTCTTGTTAAAACTGGAGAATCCGAGGCACTGCCAATTTGTTTTAAGTTGTTTATAAAGGTAGTACTTAAGAATTTAGAAATGTGACATTGCAAAAGTCAAAACAAAAAAAATTAGACAGAACTTTTTTACTTCCAGATATATTTTTGGAGGTCTATCCTGTCGTACACAGTGTGAAATAATGATAAAACAGAAATTATACAAGATTTTATTTTTGGTGAAAACTTTAATTATATACATATATATATAAATATATATGTCTATCAAAAACTTCTATTTAATAATGTACATGAAAGTTTGTTTGCTTTAACAATGTTTTCTTTGATTGCAGGTTCTCGATGCCCTCCAACTAAGGATGGTATTGGACTCTGCTCTCAACTTGTTGCCATTTACCAAAGGAGAAAAACCTATAGTGATAATTCTGAAAGCTACTGCAGCAAGACTTAAAAAAGTGTGTTAAAAATATGGAAAACTTAGCAAGTAATAAATAATTAAGACTACCTTTTTGGATATGGTTGAATTGTAATTGGTTAAAAGTAACAACACACATGGTTAAGGTATGGTAAAAATAAATCATAAGACAGCTTTACTTGTTAAAATTATCTGAATGACAATTAATTCAACTAAAAATACAAGAAATTTGTGAAAATAACTTAAATGAAAAGACAGAGAGAGCTATGCTACGAGAGATTATTTGAATGGTAATATGAAAGCTGACAGAGAATGCTATGCTTATTGAAGAGTAATTGAATGATAGTCTAAAAGCTGAATGAATGAGAGAGCTGTGCTTACTGAAGAGTATTTGAATTCTAATCCAGGTGCTAAAGCTCCTGAATAAGAATTTGTGTTTCCTAACTTTTGACCAACATTCACATCTTGTTCTTCGAGGTAGTTTAGCTAGTCTTATTGCTACACCTGCTTGAATTGGTAATGCATTAACTCTTTAAACCCGTGATCTTTTTGTGTGTTTAGTCAGAAATATTTTCCTGATTCCCTAATAAGTATCATCATACTATACAAAATTTCAATTTTCTTAATTTTGTTTTTCCTTCAGCATCAGGGGTACCTACATGAAGCATTGTTGAGTAAATAGGCTCAAACCTCTCCCTGTTGAACATTTGGTATCACTGTCTGATGGGTAAATCAGGATTTTTGGCTGGACGCTAGCAGCGTCCACTCAAGTTTAAGGAATTAAAGGACTTCAATATGTCCGTTAAAATAACAAAAAAAAAAGGAAATGTAAAAATTGTATAAACTCACAAGATTTCCAGCTCTTTCTGGAGCTCAGTTTCAGCTGGAATTACAAAAGTAACTGAAAAAATGTTTAAAACCTAGAAATTAATTTTGTAGGAAAATTGTGAGATCATACACTTTTTGTTGCTAATCAATATTGACTTCCATTCAGAGCAAACTATGTACTTAAGAGTGAAATTAAAATTCAAAGTAGCAAAGAGTATAGTTAATTAAATATGCTTTTCTTACATTACGACATATAAATATTAGAATGAATCATTTTATCAGTTGAATATCCTCTCTGTTAACAATATTTTCAGCTATTGCCTGCATCAACAATATTGTATAGATCTAATTACACTGGGATATGAAAATTCACAATTTTGTTAAACATGAGTATATTAGTATTGCTTATACAATTTGAGACAGTATAACAGGTGATAAAGGTAATGATAATTAGGTGTCAAAGAGGTACCATAATGTCTTCTTTTGTGTAAGACTAAATTTCTGATATCTCAAATCTACTGAAGTATTGTTGGTTTTCCATTCATTAAAGTTTTGATTCCTGAAGTAGTGAAAGAAACATCAGATTTCAGGAACTGTTCTGGGTATTTTGGATAGCACCTTAGCATGTAGTCCTGTCTCAGTGATACATGTTCAAAATACATTTTACTGACCTCTGGATCAATATAAATCTGAAATGTGAGATAAAACTGTGATTTTAAAATTATTTTTAATCAAAAACCTACTTTTCCTAGTAAAGAAAAAAAAATCATCAAAATATAATTAATATTTTTAGATACAAAACCTAGAGGAGATATTAGAAGAACGATGTGGTGATGCCATTGGACACCCTTCTTCAGTACATTCTATTCAGGCAGTTAAGAGTGTAGACAGAGATGATAGTGAAACTTCAGAAATTGGAAGTTGTGGTAGTGTTTCAGAAGAGGATTCAGACTGGGATAGCTGGAATGATGACAGCAACAAGGTATGACTTACTCCAGGCCACTAGTTGCACTGAGTATTACCACATGTGGTACTGCCAGATGCACAATAAATGATAGTCTTTTTATAGCAGTATGGCATTTCAATCAAGCTAGTTTTTCTAATTTCCAACTTATGTATAATTTACAGTAAATATGTGTGTAAGAAACAAAGAATTTGGTAATGAATGAATATACTGTTTTAGCCTTATACTTTCAAACATTGTAAATTGACAGGCAGAAGTTGTGAAGCTTTGAATTGTTCAGTTATTATAGGCTAAGTTGAAATATGAATCAATGATAAATAACAGTTGATTCTTTACTTAAAAGATGTTCTGCTTCATCTAAAGAATAATATGTTACAGATGATAGCACTAAAACATTACTACATGCAAATTAAAAGGGTAAATTCCAACTTTAAATGTATAAATCTACTAAATTAACCATGAACCAGCTTAATTTTATATGAAACTTACGTTGTGTTTTTCAGGAACATTTGGCAGTGGTTGAAGTAATTCAGTATTTTCTTCTTGGAATAAAAGATTTAAAATCATCTGGAAAATCTACAAGTATGTTTACTGTTTGCTACTATTGCTACAGGATTCATCAAGTTTTGAATATCATTAAAATTTATTTTCGATATTCATTTATAAATTAGAAGAATTAACCCATGTATGTTATGAGATTATTCACTGAAAAAAAACATTGTAAATGAAAAATTAAAAAAATAGTTTTGAAGTAAATTTTCTTTTTGTCTTGTTTCAATTTTTACAGATAATCTTATTTGCCTTGAAGCTGCACTCAACCTCTTAGAAAATTGGGAAAAGAAGATACTCCTCCAGCTTGTTACTGAGATTTGATGATATTTTTCCCTAAATAATTAATCCGACTTTTTGTGCATTTAATGTACTTTTAATTCTTTGTTACTCAGCATAGTTCCCCACATTGAGTTATATGGCAGTTGAGATCACTCAAACTTATAGAACACACTATGAAAAAATTATAATATTTGATACTTTATGGAACTAACTGTTGCATTCTACCGATTGCATATAACATTTGATTCGAAAAAGTCGGCCAAACTGTTAATTGTTACAGTGTACCTTGCATGATAGTTAAAAAATGATCAAAAAGTTTGAACGTGAGACAACTCAAAATTTTCATTAACTTCTTCAAAAGAACTAATCTAGTTGACAGTCAGTTACAGCTGCTGAATGTAAATTTGAATAACTAAATTATTTACCAAACTATCTTGTTTTGTCAGGTGCTCATTTAAAACAGTATTAACGAATATTTGAGAATTTAATGTATTTGCATTGTAGCACTTTTCAACAAGAAGAAATGATTAATAAAAATGTAACAGTTGTTACAAACATATAGTTTGAGAAATTTGTTTGGTACTTTAACTTCAACAACAGTACTCTCTCAGTTTTATAACATATTAAGTATTTGTGAGATTTAAAAAATTTAAGATTACTAACTTTTCAAATTCAAATATTTTCCAAGTCCTTCTCACCATTTTATAAATTTGTCTGTTTAGCAAACTATTTATTTCCCTGTACATCTGTAGAGTTTAGTTGCAATTTGGCCAGGTCGTTAAAATGCTTAACTTGCAATCTGTGGGTTCACAGGATCAAAACCCCTCATTGAACATGCTCGCGCTTTCAGCGGTAGGAAGGTGTTATAATATGGTGATGAATCCCACTATTCGTTGGTAAAAGAGTAGACCAAGAGTTGGCGGTGGGTGGTGAATACTAGCTGCCTTCCCTCTAGTCTTACACTGCTAAATTAGGGACGGCTAGCGCAGATAGCCCTCGTGTAGCTTTGCGTGAAATTCAAAAACAAACAAACAATTTATCCCTTGTTATTTTATTTTATTTATTGCAATTATTCCCCCCCCCCCCCCCCAAGTGGGTCACCTGTGAGTTTATGAATTACAATGCAAGAATCCGGATGTTTTAAATTCCGAGTTATTTATATTTCCTCGCGTTGACCTCAGTAATGTTTGTTTAATAGTAGCTTATGATATGTAGTAAATACCGAGGTTTTTTTTTCGTTGTTGTTATTCGAAGTACTACATAGTTTACGTGTGCTTCTTTATATAACAGCATGATTCAACTACTTGGATGTGTAGTAAAGCTGAAAAAGTATGTCTAAACAGATTATTTGGTTGAGGTTAATTTACATCAGTCAGATTTACATGCAATGGCTGAGTAGGGTAGATGTCTTTCATATTCTGAGTTGAAATAATACAAATACTTGAGTACGTGACCAAATAATTACAAGTCGAAGAAACAAGATTACTTATTATATATTCCATACAATTATCACTCGTTTAATACTTTCAATCACTTGTTAGATAAATGTATAGTTTATTGGTTTTTTTAATTGTAAAGCTGGGATATCTACTCTGTCTACATTGTGGGGATAGGAAGTCTAATCTTATTGTTTTAAGCCCTCATGCTTAGTGCTGAATGTATGAACGAGAAAGCTTCACTGTAAGTGATTTTGTAGAAACTTCTATTTTGTTTGTTTGTCTACATTAACAGAAAGCTAAATAACTAGATATACTTCCTCAGGGTCCCCGAAAGTGTTCTATTTCACGAGTAAATAAAACCCAAATTAAGTTTAACAAATATTTTTATTTCTTGCTTTTGAATTTAATTTGTCATGCTGTGTGTCAAGCCTTCGGAGTGGATAATTCTTCTCCTGATTCATGGCATGCGCACATTTTACTGACATCACGACAGTACAAATTGCAACGTTGACGTCCCTTTTATGACGTCATTTTATTGTCTACTGAATGACTGACAGACAGATAAAACACTACTGTAAAGTGATGCTAGTGGTTAAAACACATGACCCCTCCAGGCGGCCTTCGGCCTCCTTTCGGAGAAATAAGATGTCAGCGCTCTGTCCGCTACGGAGAATCGAACCTCAGATTTTAGCGTTGTAACTCTGTAAACTTACCACTGACCCACATTGCTGATGAATTACCCTAAGACCTAAACAGTTTTCTTTCGTTTGATTGTTTTTTTTTAGGTGAGAAAATTGTTTCTTAATCTTACAGGTCTGAGGTTTATGTTAAATAAGCTGAGGTACCCGTCCTTTGTCCGGGTTATGAACTTTAAAAAATGTGGGGTTGGGTGCGTTGATAAATAGGACAAAAATCCTAACTTTTACACAATTTATTTTTAACATAACATATTATTACAGTATTCATCATTACTTCACCCAAAGTTTTGTATAGCCTTTAAGAACTCGCTATGTATGTAGTTGAAACATGGTTTACACTGTGCGATGGTCAGGGTGACTTTGTTGAAAAAAGTAGCGGGAAAAGTAGTGGCGATAGATGCGCTCTCTGTTACCCACTTTCAACACCCAGCTGTTAATGCCCTTCCATACTTTTTACGTTATTAATTCATTGACGGTCTTTGGCCACGGAAGCAGGAACGTCGAGAGCCAGCACGGGCCACGGGGCAAACATCCTCGCCGGGCCCCTTTCTCTCTCTCTTTTTTTTACATTTTCAAGCATTTATTAAAAATAAGATCCTAAATTAGGACAGCAACGAGCTCATAAACCAGACAAAATCATAGCAGCAGCCATTTCTACCTCACAGTATAAGCGTAAAAATGTTAATAAAGTAACAACAAATATCTATTAAATCTATAAAGTAACAAATACTTATTAATTATTATTCAAGTTATTATATCAGTCGTTCTTAATGTATCAAGCGTCTATATGCAAAGAAAAGCCAAAAACTATGGTTTTTATCATTAAATGAAGATATAGCCTAAAGATGCTTTGCGGGCTTTACGGCATAACCAGGTTTCATTCCCGGGCCCTGGGCAGTTACACCCTTTGCCCCCCTCCTGTGGGCGGGCCTGCGCAGAAGTGTCTTACGGGCCAAAGTTAAAAGGTCACGGGTCAAAGTAGGAAGCGGGTATAACTCAAGAAACGGGTCTTTATATCAGCTTTATGATGGTTGTTGGCGTAGAAACTTCATCTGAGTTTATGTATTATTGTAAGAGTGGCGGCCAATTTTTCTTTGCATTTCTTCATAGAGAGTGCTAGAGCACTCTTTGAGATATATGAGGTGTTTGTGTGCCCTCCCTCCACACTGTGTGTATGTTGTGTTATTAAAAAATTACTAAAGTATTTTCCGTGTAAGGACGTGACGTAATCTATGAATATAGCTCGTTATCTTACGTAAAAGATAATAAATGCTCAATAACAGCAATATTTGGAGATAGAGGGGGTTGTGAACCCCATTAACATCTCTCTTGTTACAAACTATTATCCCACAAAGTTTGGTTCAGATTGGCTCAGCGACCTAGGAGTAGCTAGATAACGGACAAACAGACAGACACACAGACTTGTGTACTTTATTTATAAAGATGACTTGAAACATGTACATAATAATCCTTGGTGCACTCACTGAGATATATGTGACGTTTGTATGTTGTTATAGAAAATTTAATATAATTTTTTTTTCAGCGTAAGGATGGGGCGCCACCTATGAATGTAATTAAACGTAAACTTACGTCAAAGATCATAAATGCTCAATAACAGCAATAATGGGAGATGGAGGGGTTGTGAAACCCCATTAACATGCTTCTTCTTCCAAATTATCATGCCACAAAGGTTGGCCCAGCGACCTAGGAGTAGTTAGATGCTTTATATTTTATATATAAATTCCGGGAAGTTTTATCACATGGGATAAAATTTGTGGATCATACAAATTTAACATATCGCTTATGAATACAATTTGGCAATTTTTTCATATTATTTGGCATGAGTAGTAATAAGTATGTGACATTATACCGCAAGAAGATAAATAACTTAAATCACGCCCCCTACCTTGTTCTGTGCTGCTGATGTGATGTGCTGAAGTAAGGGTTGGCAAGTTCTTTTTGAGTTTCATATATAACTCTGGTCAAACACTAGTGTTTATCACTAAACCAAGGTTTTTGTTGTTGTTTTTTCGTTCTACGCCCAATTAAAGTTTTACCTAAATGATCAAAAACAGTTACAAATTCATTATTTTATTGTGTTGTACAGTGTTTTTCATGCAGCAAAATATGTTTTAGCACGAAATTTTGTTTATATTTTTGTCATCAGAATACTACATTAATATTCTGTATGATTTTCACGTTTATTATTTTTGGGTTTAGATTATTAATCTTTTACTTTATTAATAAACCTCAACTTTTTTATTATTAAAATTTGAAGTAAAAAACAAACAAACTTGTTTTGTGTGCCTTGTTTGATAAAAAATGTGTTCACTATACCCAAGGTACGATAGTTACTAAAAGTCACACTTCCTTTTTATGTTAAGCAAAAACTACACAACGAGCTACATGTACTGTGCTCACCGCCAGTATCGACATCCAGTTTTTAGCGTTATAAGTCCACAGACATACTGCTGAGCCACTGGGATGGTGTTGGAGTCGTGTAAATGTCCTCAAATCAGAATCGCAGTGCTGAGAACTCAACTGTTGTGACTGTTTATTGTATTAAGTTTCAGTTTTTCGTGTATTAATAGCTTACACTGAACTTTGTAGATATATAAAGAACAAAAGAAATACAGAAAACAAACTTGTCCGACATCTTCCATGTGTTAACCTACTACTTCACTGCATTGTAGATTTGAGGTTATAATTAAGGGCAATGTATAGCTTGACAAAAAACATTGTTCGTTGACCCTTTAATAATGTTCATGCGCCAATTTCCTGTCAGAATTGTTTTATACACATCATATTAACAACTATGACGCATTGAAATAATCAGATCTAGTCTAGTAACATAAATCTTATGTTTTTAGGTGTAACTTTCACTTCGACTATCTTAAAAGAGCATTTTCATTCATTTTTCTGGAATTCACCGAGTCACATTTTCTACAGAATTATAAACAGAGGGGTCGCTTGGCACTGGGACACAGGACTCGTACCCTGATTCTATTTGCCAGTGCCTCGAATGCCCAGTTGGTGTCTTGAAAAATCAGAATAGAAATACATGATCAATATCATACTGAAACGCCAAACATTCCCGTGCCGAGCCCCAAATCTTTTCAGCAACTAACGACTCCTCTGAATATACACCTTCACTTGTTGGTGATAAGCACAACAGTGTGATGAAACTGAGCATGATTATGCTTATTATGTACATTAGACATTGTATTTACTCCACCCCCCCCCCCAAAAAAACGTTATGAATGTTGTATATTATATTAACGAAATTGGAAATTCTTTTATCGGTTAATTGCACTAGTTTGATGAAAGTTCGTTTCGTTCCTTTTGAATTTCGCACAAAACAACACGAGGGTTATATGCGATAGCTGTCCCTAATTTAGCTGTGATAGACTAAACGTAATGCGCC